CACACACACACACACACACACACACACACACACACACACACACACACACACACCGTAAAGGTGCAGACCAGAACAAGAACCGACCTCTCTCACATAGTACAAGATAGCGCAGCGGAAGGCTAGTATACCAATTATCAGACCAACAATGTCGCAATGCAGACCAAACATACATCATCATCATTCCATGGTGTGAAGGGGCCTGGCGCTCACACAGGAAGAGGGGGGTTAGACGAAGAAGAGGGGAAAGATGGGAATGTCGTCAACACCAAGTCTTCGGTACAGGTCCCAAATAATCCCTTGCCCAACGTCTCAATCCCAATGTCGCGTCTGGATCCAAATGTCGTCAAGTCCCTAAAGTCACCAATCTCTCTCTCTCTCTCGTAGTCCACGGGAACTGAGAAGTCAGGTGGCGAGAGGGTGAGGGAGAGATGGTGGACTCTCTCTCTCTCTCCAACGCTACTCTAGCTCCTAATAGCGCCCAGCGCTGAAGGCTGCTCCTAACGCTACTACTACTACTGCAGCGCTCCTCCTGCCTCCTGCACGTGAAGTGCCCGTGAACTGCCTGGGAAGTCCCTATGAACTACCTGCAGCCTGCAGGGAGTGCCAGTTCTATGTACTGCTGGCCCATCCGGGAGGCTGCTCTTGTCAATGCCGAAACGTGCTAGACCCTGGCGTTGAAGTTCAAACAAAGGTTGTCTTGAAACAGGCCCAAAAATGGCCTGCGCCAAACCCTGGTCTGGTGCCTGAGTTTCAGGGCAGGTCAACTTTATGAGGGCCTGCAAATGGCCCTCGTTTTCAGGCTTTCAGGCTGAAACGACACAGGGCCTGTAGGGCCCTTATTTTCTGTCCGGTCGGGCCCTGTAGGCCCGTGTGGCTGTGCAGTATGCCACACCCCCCCCTCCTTGAAAGACCGAGCTTACCTGTGAGGGCGAAGCTGCCTGTTTGAGGGAGGGACCAAAGTCCGGGTGGGAGGGGCGGGTCGTGAAGCTTCCTTAGCTAACCTTTGTCGTTCGTAGTGAGCGTAGATCGGCAGTGCAGATGCTTTCAAATCTGCTCTTGAAATCCATCGAGTGTCGTCAGGATCGCATGCTTTGAAGGTAACTCTGTATGGTCGACGCTTGCTGCCGTACTTGCGATCCGTGATGATGCAGTCAACTTCCTGATGACCCTCGATAGATGGAGGGTCTTGCGATCGTCAGCCCAGGAAGTCGTCGCTCTTAGCTGGTTTGTATGTCGCCAGCTTCGAGGCGTGAAAGACTAGATGGACCATCATATGCGGGGGGATTTTGATCACAAATGAGGGGCCATCGAAGTCATCGCCCGCGGCTGATGTTACGGGCCATGGTCCAAACCACTTGGGGAGTAGTTTGCACGAAACATCCTGTTTGAGTGTGAACTCTTCCACGGAGACCCAAACCAGATCACCGACGCGGATGGGACATGGCACACGACGCCTGTTGGCTTGCTTGATGCTGCATGCGGACTTGAGCCTTTTGCATGTTTGCGCGGGCTTGAGCCAGCAATTCCCTGTACTTCCAGACGGAAGCAGGAGAGCAAGCAACGTCTATGTCTGTTGTTCGTGGAAGGAGAAAATCAGCGAAGATACGGCCTTTCCGGCCACCGTGGTGCAACTCGAATGGAGTCACGCCGATCGTCAGGTGCAACGAAGTGTTGTAGGCGAACTCGATGTCGGGGAGGCGGTCAACCCAATCTTTCTGATCCGGACGGATGAGCGTACGAGCATCATTTGAGCGGTTTGATGTGCCCGCTCCGTTTGCCCGTCCGTTTGTGGATGCCGAGCCGAACTTGGTTTGATCTTGGTGCCGGATTCCGGCATGAGAGAAGTCCAGAATGCCGACATGAAATAAGTGTCGCGGTCGCTAACGATGTCTTCCAGCACGCCGTGGCTGCAAATCCAACCAGTTGCAAGAGGCGCGCAAGTTCGGGAGCCGTGGCGTAGTACTTGCAAGGGAGAAACCGCGTGTACTTACTCAAACGGTCAACGACCGTTAGGATGCCGTCGTGCCCGAGGCAGTCGCGAGGGAACGGACCAGCGACGTCCATGGCAATAGAGAGGCCAGGTTCTCGTGGGATAGGCAACGGGCGCAACTCGCCGTAGGGATTGCGGTTGCGGGGCTT